CTGTAGCACCCATGGCCTTTCAGGAACCTCGGGAAGAGAGAGTTAACTAGCCAACACTCCTGCTGAATATTAATCCTGCTCCCAGGGAATGGCCACCCTTCACACCTCCCAGTTTACTTGCTACTTAAAACAAATCCAGCCTGTGTGTGCCCTAAGATTGCCTTGTAGCACAAGCAAGAGCGGGATGACCGGGAGCTTCCCTTCAAAAGCACATTCCTGAGCCATGGTTCAAGCTCCTGGATCCTGTCATAATTTCACTACCAGTAATAGTAACGCAAAGATCATGAGTCAGGCTGTCAAACTGCTTGTGCCTCCCTCTGCAGGCTAATTCCTTCAGACCCTAAGGTGCTTGCTGACCAAAGCAATGCCAGCTTGTGCTTCTGGTCTTCAAAGGCTGACCCTCACTGAAAGCCCTGGCATCTGTCTGCATCCCGTGCCATTGGTACGACGGATATCTCAGAAAACAGTACTGAGGTTCCCTAAGAAAAGACAGTGGAGGAATGAATGTCAAGGAAGAGTCAGTAAAATGCTCGAGTAGCTGCTTCAGCGTGGAAGAGTGCAGGAGGAAAAGTAGGTTTGAAAAGAATAAATGGGAAATACTCTCCTCCCACGAGTCCTGGCTCCTCATAGATGTATTTCTATTATCTAAATGGCTGTGTGAAATGGCCACTAAACAATAGAAATGAGAGCAATGGGCACCCTCAGCGCCCACCAGGCAACAGTGTTTGGATTTATTTGACCCTCCCAGGCCTTGTGTGAGCCAGTGTCCTTGTGATGTACAGGATGGAGACAGCAGCTGGATCAGGTCCCCAGTGCAGAAGGATTTCTTAAACGACTGTTGCTGATGACATGGTGAAAGAAAGACCATACTTATAAGATGCAGAAGTGTTGACACCGAAATTCCTGGCGCCAGGATAACTTGAGAGTAGTTCAATCCAACCGCACAATACAATATATGCCCATAAATTAAGAGTATGGATTTGTGCTCACTAATAGAGGCTAAATCCTGATCCTATCAGGTAACCATTTTCCTTAGACCCAGCTTTTAAAACTTCAAAGTATTAAACAAACCCTCTTCACAACAGAAACCCTTGTGGACCTACTCAGAAGCCCAACATCACTAGTGCTATCAACAGATTAAAAAAGAACAGAGCAGATGCAACAGATAGTAGTCCAGACGTGTAAGGTGCAAGCAATCAAGAGGGCCAAGGGAACATCTTCTGATTGCAGAAGTCAACCCACCACCTTTTGTCGTAGTCAATTGTTTTAAACCCAGTGCCCCTGCTATGATCTCGGGGGTCTAGCGGGCATGGAGGAGGTCCAGGGAAGCTCAGGAGCATTGCCCTTGCATTAGCATTGTCCAGGGCATGGCTATGTGGTTCTCTTCTTCCCCTTCTCTCCCTTCATGTCCCCTGTCGCACAAAGGTGATGGTTCCCCCTGGGAAGAATAAGAGATTTAGCTCACCTGGGGTCTGGCACGTGTCCATTGTGATGTTACCTTGCACAAGGGTATTTAGTGCCTATGTTGGGAGCTTCAAACCTATTGATTGATTGCAGAGCCTTCCCTCCCATGCTGGAAACACAGGCTGTTTGAAAGCTTCGTTTAAATACATGCTATATTGTTTCAGGTGTCCAAAGTTTTATTTTACTTCTCTAGTAAATATCATCCAATTTAGTGCCTATGTTGGGAGCTTCAAACCTATTGATTGATTGCAGAGCCTTCCCTCCCATGCTGGAAACACAGGCTGTTTGAAAGCTTCGTTTAAATACATGCTATATTGTTTCAGGTGTCCAAAGTTTTATTTTACTTCTCTAGTAAATATCATCCAGCTCCTAAACGAGAACTTTGGGGAAACTGCTCCCACAATGCAACTTAAAAATCACCCTGCAGAGACCTTATGTTCCTCAGCCTAAATCCAGCCTTCAGTGTGTGTTGAGTTACGAGGTTGTCCAGACCACTAATAGAGGAGCAGGGGAATTTACACCAAAAAGGAATAAACAAGCCAACAATAAAAATAACCATTTATCTCTTCTTCCTCCCCAATGTCTTACTCGAAAGGTCACTGTGTTCTCTCGTGGAAGCAAAGCTCTATAATGTGAGCTTAGATACTTCAGGCTAAATCCCAGAGTTCTTACTCACTTTCCCCTGAGTAACTTCTGTGAGGTTTTAGTTTGCATTTTTTACTTACATAAGGTCTGAGAAATAAGCAGGGGCTCCAGAACAGAGAAAAGCCCAGGTCAGTGGGGCACTTGCAGCATGGCTCCCCACTTAACCCAGGGTGACTCACACCAGAGAGGTGTGAAACAAGCTCCCAGCCTCATGTTCTTCCTATTTTGCAGATGAGGTTTGCTTACAATAGTGCTCAGTGGACCGAAAATGGAGGTTACAGCAGGGTAGATCAGCAGCAAGGGCTGGAGGGACAGGTTTCCTCTGTGCAGAAAGCAGCCTGCAGAGCCCATCGGCCAGTTTATGAAAGCAAACCCTTGCCCATGTCACCACGTTTTACCAAGGAACAGGTCTAACACCGTTTAGAAATAAGCAGAGCTGTTTAGGAAGAGGGAGACAAACATTGCTCCCCAAAAGCTTCCCCCTGCAGAGCTTCCCGTAGGAACCCAACTGCCTTGTAAAGATGCCATCGCATGGGGCAGCTACTGCCCTTCCTCTCATTTCAGTGAGCTCTGGCCCCAAAGCTCTCCCTAAGATGATTCTGCAGACAGGATGAAGTATTTTATAGGGTTCAGTTTGGCTCAGAAGTTGTTTGAGATTGCCCAGCTTTTTGGAAAACGCAGCTCCCGCGGCTCAGGGTCCCTGGCTTTGGGGATGTTGTGCAGGCTTCCCGCTGCCTTCCCAGGTTCTGCCACTGAAAAATAATATTCCTTGCTCCCCTTGCACTTCCAAATCATACAGCGTGTTTTGTCAATGTCCACCGTTGTTTAAAGCCCCTCCGGGCTCCTGCTGGGGACATTATTTCTCTCTGAATTTCGCAGGCAGCGGGGGATTCTTCCTGATTTTAAAGAGGGCTCCCATGGATCATGAATAATCTGTGACATTCCTAACAGGAGCCTTACCCAGCTGCCTCGTAACACACAGAAGGGCTCATGTCTGAGAATCCAAGTGGCACTCTGAGGGCTCTGTGGGCATTTTGAAATGCTGTGAATCAGAAAGAGGAGAGCTGGCAGGTCACCCAAAGAAGCCACTGCGCACATGGGAGTTGAAAAATAACGTCTTTCCGAAAGTTTGCTAAACATCTGCTTGTCCTTAGCCCTCAGAGGCCATACCTCAGCTGTCGTAATACAGGCCAACCCATCTCTTCTTGATTAATAGTACAGAGAACGTAGAAAGATGCCCAGTTTGATGTAAAGACCACCAAGCGAAGGAGAGCCATGTTGCACCTTACCTAGGACTCAAGGGCTGTGAGCAAGAGGCAGCTCCCCTGGTCAGACAGACCTTTCTAGACTCCTTCTTCCTGATAGATGTTCCCTGTGTACCCCAGGTGGTATCTGCCTTTAGGGCACCCACCTCAGTTTCTACTCTGTTATCCCAGGGACGTATGGCCATTTCTCTGTGGAGGACAAGCAAGTTGGAGCAGACCAAGCAACTCTCTGCAGAGGCATGCTGGGGTAGCCAAGGTGTAGGAGAGATGCTTTATATTCATTAGCTGTATCTGTACCTCATCTAATACCTCCCCATTTTCCTTTCTAAATACAAAAGAAAGGGAAAGAGATACCATTATTTACCTCCCAAACAGAATAATTTATATAAACAGTTTACAAAACAAGTGGGTGCGGTTTATCACAGAGATTTGTTCAAAGAAAAGATCTTGAAGTTCACAGAGCAAAAAGCTCACCAGTAATGATCACACACACACAAGCAGATACAGATACACCACATATCCAACACATACTGACTGACGAACTAAAAGATGAATTGTGAAATGGGCAAATAAAAAGCTTGAGATTCACTGAATCAGAATGCTGTGTACGCATTAAAAATTAATCGATGTATTTATCAACAACTATAAAAAAATTATCCTCATCTTAGGGCAGGCATTTTGGCTGGAAAAGGCCTTAATAACAACATCTCTTTCTCTGCCACGATCAATTACAATGGTCATTATTTTAACGCAATCCGAAGGGTTGGGGTAGATCATAGGGCAAGAGTTTGAGGATTTTACTCCTCCTTTTGCCACTGATTGATTGCGTTAACAACCAAGGCAAGTCAGATTTCTGCTACGTTTCAGTTTCCCTTTTGTAAGTGGGATAATATTTCTTACAAGTTTTTGTAAAGCAGTTTGAGATCTTGGGGAGAAAGCAGCTATTTAAATGCTCTATGTTATTATTTTAGGCCCCGATTCAGGAAAACATATAAGTATATGTTTAAATCCTGCTGCTTTAATGGGTCAAAAGCACCCACTTTAGGCTAAGCTCATATTGATGTGGTCTTTCTGAAAAAGCTGCCCTAAAACTTCTAATTATCCCTATTAAAAATATCGCCCGTTGAAGCTTACTTAAAAGAATAGAGTTAATTACTAAAAGGCGGGGG